TACGTAACGAGAAACCACCCGTGCCGAGAAATTTTGTGTATACTTCACCTTCAAATCGAAGAAAAACCGAACACAAGACGCGACCCCTATATTTTTTGTACCAGCTATGTTCTATAGTCAATTCTAAACACATTAAGACTTTTCACTAGGGAGAAGAATTATACAAGTTTTTCTTAGCTTGATTTTTAGCATACTTTCGCTAGAAGTCTATAATATAGTTCCTTTCCCAAACCTCCACCTTAGTACTTTCCTCAGTTCTACTTTCAATTTAGGGTATCATCTAAGTTACATATATCCAATACTATACCTAAAATCATTTTCAAGCCTTGTGGCGGCTATAGCATGCAGATTTATCTGAACTCGCCACGCAGATCAGTACTTATGCGGCGGTGGCGAACCGTTTTTGGAATAGCGTGCTGAAAGCTACACCTCTGAATGTCTGGGTAATTTCGAAATTGGAAAATCGACACGTGACTCTGATTTACAGCTCCAATTTTCAGGCGGATATCAGCGGAGCCTTTTCTGGCTGACATCCAATTCAAGAGGCACACAGTTCAAGCCTGACAAGCATGTCATCACATTCTTCTCCTGAGGCAAAGAGAATGTATCCAGAAGTGGTACAATCATTATACATTCTACAGACGCTCGCAAAATCAGCTTCGCTTTGTCCCGCTTGAAAATTAAATGAGCACGGATCACTACCGCCAATTTTGGCCGACGCTGCAACGGGCCACGTCCGCATGATGCATGACATCTGGCTACAGTACTAGTCTAGCAGGCTTAGGATCTGGGGAATAGACTAGGGAGGCGATGGACTGTATCGCGTGACTTTTCTATTATTTTTATAACGCTCAAATAGCTAAGGCATTTATTCCTGCGCGTCGCATGACTTATTGATTACGTGGACGATATTGCTAGTTACGAGCATATTCTAGAAGGTTCTAGAAGTAAGTGACAGCTATTAAATTATTATAAACTATTCGGCTCCCCTAGAACCCTCGATGGAAGAGAGGAAAGGAGAAAAAGAGATATATATCATAAGCTTTGTATATCGTTCACTAACAAGTACTACTTTCTATGTCATGAGCTTTTGCCCTTGTTGAACCTGAAGAACTGATAATCCTCCTGACGAATGTCCCAAAGCGATAATTCCTCCCCATGTAGCCTCACAAGTAGGTCTATATCTAGTGGGTAGCAAGAGGAGATTAGTAGTGCCTTCTACTAGCCAGTTTTCAGAGACGTGTAAAGTCACGATCTGCTTGCCGTCTGGGGAGAAGGCGACTGAATTGACCTCATCTGTATGGCCCTCGAGTGCCGGCAGCAGCTGCTGTCCAGTAGCCGCATCCCAGCGCCGGACCGTCC